GTAAGTAAGTAATATCGTAATGGTCGTTTTCTGCAACAATAAGCCACGCATATTTGGATGGCTACCTGTCACTACCACCATGACAAATGGTGAACTCCCCTGGGGGATGGTGGCACGGTGGATCCTGTGGATCCTGCTTTACTCAGCCCAGGCTCAGACGCCAGGATGCGATAAAGAGCAAGACCAGGGACTGGGTCAACGAGGGACCAACTGGTCATCTTGGGCGGGGAATTCAGGATAAACGTTTTCATGGAATATATAATGGATAACCTCCAGTAATATTGGATATATAATGGATATGATATACTATAATGATTTATTCATGATTAATGGAATATTAATGGGGATATAATGGATATAGAACCAACTATAATCACAAATTGGACAGAACTGTAATCATCTACATTTCAGGAATTTTCATGGGGATATAACTATAATATAAATGGGAATATCACCAACAATAGTAGCTAATCACATCATTTTATTGCGTACCCTCTGGTAAACTAACAGTTTGCTATGGAAAATCACCATTTTTCATGGGAAAATCCACTATAAATGGCCATTTTCAATAGCTATATTTCTATGGCCATTTTCAATAGCTATGTTAGTCATAACCAGAGGGTAATCATAAACAACATGGTTTACGTTCGAACATCCCCCACTTAAAAAAGGATGGGTCTCGGGATGGCCTTTTCAGCAACAAAAATGGTGCACCTTTTCGGAGACATCCAAAATAACATAAAGGGATAGTCATGGATCATCTCAATTAGGATTAATATAATGCATATAGAAAATTAATAATATAATGTAATATACATATATATATAATCACTGATAATCACCATTTTAATAGGTAAAAGTATCATCCAAAAACATCTATATATGTCTATGGCCATGGTTTCTATCCCAATGATCGCCATTCCTCAGCTCCCAGGCCCCAAGGGAATAAACCTGGCGCGATGCGACGATGCGTACGGCTTTACGGTTTACCACGGTGTTTCAGCCGGAAAAAGTTCTGGTTGGTGGTATACCTAACCCTCTGAAAAATGATGGAGTTCGTCAGTTGGGATGATTTTCCATTCCCAACTTTTCATGGAAAGTCATAAAAATTCCATGGTTCCAGTCACCAGCAGCCAGGGTTTATAATTATTATAAGCCACAAAAAAGGGACCTGGTCCCTTTTTTTTAACTCCATGGCCACGCCTAGTTGTGATGCAACCATGGGAAGTCGACGGGACTGCAGAAAACCCATCAGAAAAATCTACAGGAGCTCGTTTTTGTCTGGGGAAACCCATGAATTTTCATATATGTTAATGGAAACCTGATGGTATATCCACTTTCTGGCCATTTTAAGAAGCGCTGCCTTTGCCATTTTAGGCTGCCAAGGGACACAAATCCTGGTCGAGGACTTCATCATTTGTCCGACCTGGGGTGATGAAATCCAGGATCATCCAGGTAGAAGATCCCATATAACATAGCTATGGAAAATCACCACTTTTTATGGGTAAATCCACTATAAATGGCCATTTTCAATGGCTATGTTAATTTACCAGAGGGTAGAAGATCCCATATGGGGGATGGGCCGATGGGTCAAAACCAACCAGGCCCTTCTGTTCATCAAAATCCTTGGGACTTCATCCAGGATGTGCAGAAAAAATGGATGTTGAAAGATCTATAGCTACTGATCCATATCTCTTAATGATGAACACAGCAACAGCAGGAAAGGGTACCCTCAAATCATGAAAATATCCCGTTCATATCTCATTATATATCCCATTAAAGTACCATTGTTATCCCATCAACTCGGACCACAATTTATGGTGGAGCTTGACCTTTCTTTAGAAACACCCCACGGTGTCCTCTCAGAAGTTGTGGTTATACCTGCCACTACGCAGGATTTTTTAGGCCATTAGATGTTTATCATGGTATAATTGTGTGTTAGTAATACTAAAGATATTTGCTACTATGTATGCAAAGGAGTTGTGCTTCCATCTTCTGACCATATGCTGCAAGTGTGTTCGAAGATACGCTACAGAGCACTGCATGCGGTTCACTGCTTCCAATTGGTTCTATCTTCGTGCCTGTTGCCAAAAAAAAACACTTTTTCATGGAGTTTCCCATATTTTTCCCATGTGTGTTTCCATTGTTACTTCTCTTCTGACTTAAATCATCGTATATCCCTGTTCAGATCTATATTATATATATATGGGTAAATTGTAATATTTCACCAACCTGAATTGTTCGGCCATAAAAGGGGATGATTCCCCTTATTAACCGAGCTACGAAGCCAATGGCCCCCAGCACCACCGAGGCTAAGCCAGCAATGATTCCAGCCACCGTGACATACCTCGACGGAGTCCCCAAATCAGGCCCTGATGGACAAACCATCACCACTTGGAATAGTGGGATTTATGATGGGATTTATCTCATTACTCTTGCCATTTCGATCTTACTGTCCCATTCTTTACAGGGTTTCAGGATGGTTTCAGAAAGTTACGAATACATATCAGCCGGATCCAGCTGGTGCAAGATTTTCTCCATCACAAGTATGTGTATAAATCCAATTCCCATTGTTGCCAGGTGAGGTCGCGACGTGTGTGATCAGACTGATCCAGTATGATTGTTGTGGCAGGTTTTACGAGCAAAAATGAGGATTGAATTGAACGATTGAAAAATATATATATAATATATACAAATATATATATATATTATATATTATATATATAATATATTCATATATATATATATTATAATATATATATATATATAATAGATCGTCAAAAAAAATGGGACAAGCGAGAATTGACCAACAAAAATTGGAATTTTTCTCCCACTTAAACATTGGAGCAGCTGACTGAAAAACCCGGAAGAATGTAATGAATAGACAACACCAATATGGGGAAATCCTGAACCCAAATAAATTTGCGGATTTATCCAATTAACATTCGAGGTTTCAACTGACAACAATGAGCATGTCACCAACAAATAAATGAAATCTATGGTGCCCACCGAAATCGCACATATGTGACACCTCATGCAGTATGACATGTATTCATATTGATATAATTGCATCCATATATATATATGTATATATGTATATATATATATACTCGTATATATATATTATATACTGCAATATACTGTATGTATGATAATGATAGAAAGATTTAAACTGAGTGTAAGTCTATACAGAACTTATGCCTGCGTGGCTGTCATCCGATGCCGGACCAACATCTGTGAATCTCTGGATCTCATAAAGCCAGGTCATTGTCATTGTCGTCCCATCTCTACAAGTTAAATGCAATAGAGTGAACATGTCAAGGCTAGTGATAAATATGATAAATTGAAGTGTTCCTTCATGTTGATTGTGTTTTTCCATGTTTTTCCTTATCCCAATGCTCAGTGATACTAATGTCAATATACATCTGGTGGTTTCAGAGGAAACTTCCCAACGTGGCCCTTGGATAGAAGCTCGCCATCGTTGCAACTTGACACCTTGACACTGAAATAATCAGGATCATAAGATGGTGAAAAACATAGAAAAAAATGTCAATCCAATAATATCCATAATATATATATATATAATCCAATAATATCCATAATAGTGTTGGTGATTCCGATAGTCTTGGTTATGCAATCATATCCATAAAGATGGTTCTTCGTTTTAGTGTTGATGATTTCAGCTCCCATCTCTTGACAACGTTGGTCAAAGTGCATCACCGAAAACCCCAGTCATGAAAATCATCAAATGGATGACAACAGTTGGTCCCCAACTGAGTGGGAAAAAAAAAGGAGTTTCAACCTTCAGATAGGGTCCGGTAAAATTGTCCCTTTCAGCTCCCATCGAGTTCCGGTCACCGGTGTCACCGACCATCCCCGGCTGCGAAATTTTCGAGGCAGCTGTGAGAAATCGGCACCAGCACGTTGGCTTTGCAACGCATAAAGCCACTGGTGCTTGATCTCCGAATCACTCGCATGAAATCGCAGAATTCTCGAAAGATCCAACATGATCAAACCAAGCTCTTCATTTCTTGCATCAAGGGTGAGCCAACAGAAATGGTCGTTTTTGATGAAGATATATAAAAATGATGGGATTTAATGGGATAATATTGAGGATTATCTTCATCCTTGGGCACCAACAAGACACGGAGATCCCTATGCGGCCGCGCATAAATGGCATGAGTGATCATGGGATACGTGGGAAGACGTGCCTTCGGCAGCAGTCACGCATCAGGACAGAGCAACTCATCTTCGAAAATGGCCAAGCATCACTGCGTCCCCGAGCTAGGGAATACACCAACGAAATTGATAAATAGATTATCTATGACTTTCTTGAGCAATTTGGTCAGTCGCCATTTCTTCGGATAAAGAAGGAATGACAAAATCACAACTGCAAATGTGTGCCTTTTGTTTTCGCAACATCCTAACCATGTTGACCAACATGTGTTCTGTTGATATGTCTTTTCATATTGAAAGCGAATGAGCAGCTTTGTCGGTCTTGCTACCTTCTTCCGTTGCAGAGATGCACTGCTGGCGGAGGGTGCAGATTCTTCTTGGATGATTGTAGGCGGGGCACCTTTGAAAATAATTTGGCACCTTAACCCTACAAGAATCCAAGTGAGGCTCTATGATTTCTAGTTGAAGATACTTGAAACCCAACCTCGCACAAACGGCGTGGTTCCAGTCGCCACTATGTGTACATACTCAGCCCCCCTTTGTTCCTGGGGTTTTTTTGACCATCACCCCATGCAAAAATGGCACCAGAACATGGCAGTGCAACACGGCGAAAGTTTAAGACCTGATCCTGCCACGCTGAATTTCTGGATGTTGAAGTCCAAATGCTCCCGCCATCAGAACACCACAAGATGAACACATTGTGAGGCACAGCAGACCACCACATGTCGAAGATGATTGAAGTATTTTCGCAGGTCCTTTTCGCAGGTCCCTCACTTTAGAACAATATTGCAATGCCTTTAGAACCTTTTCGAGCAATCGCAACTCGCAACAAGACTTCTCTCACACAAAGAGAAAAATGAAACTTCCAACACCCAGAGTCTGACCGTCGCTCAAATGCTTCGCTGCTTGTCAACGACGCATTGGCGTGGTCCATGCACTGGCAACCAGCAACCACTATTGTGGAGTCGGTTGGCCCCTCACATCACCAAGGAATGTAGAGGGGTCTTGGTTCTAAGCTGCGTGGAACCAAAATCGACCGAGAAAATCTCGGCCGATCTTCGAGAAGTGCCTCAAAGGGAAACTCGCCGATGGCACCTTGGTCGTAGCTGCCGGGTGTTGGCGACAAAATGAAAAGATGTGTATCTATTTATATGTATAGTATATAGTATATGTAATGTATAGTGCAGTGTGCATAGAGTATAGTGTGTCTAGTTCAGAGTATGTAGTATAGTATATAGTATATTGTATATAGTACATGGTACATAGCACATACTGCATTATAGTACATGTGTGTATGTTGTATAGTGTATTGTATGTAGTATATGGTATAGAAAATATGTGAAAATATAGTATATCAGTATATCGCATATTGTATACCGCTGTATACTTCATCGACTGTTTGGCTCGCAAACTGATTTTTACACGGAAACCAAATGACAGTGCATCGTCAAATTACGTTGCAAGGTTTATGATTCTGGATCAAAACCCCCCACACAATGGTGTTCATCACAAGCAAAAAAACAAACATCACGTTTTTTTTGTACCAGTATCATTAATATAACATAATATAACTATGATATATCTTATACAGTACCAATATCATCATCACAATTGGGATATTTTAATAATTTATGAAGCTTCTGGACTGATTCCCAACTGAGTTTCCCAACTCCGCGGACTGCTCGGGGTCTTCATGCCTGCTATGGCTGTGTCTGGAAATGTGGTCGAAAAAGGTTTTTTCTCCCCGAAAAGAGTTGATGGGAAAATGTGTGTAAACCAGTGGATAGAATCAGAATAGTGTTCCCTGTAATAGTTGTCCCAACATGTTCCAAACCCATATCGAATCTACCGGATAATGCATCATTTACATCAATCTACCATCATGTACTGATTGGTTATAAAAAAAAAAAAAACATGCTTACCTTAATCGGAAAGGGTAATTTTTGAACATGGCCAAGGCAAAGCCGACCCCTTCATATTCGAATTCCACTGTTCCGCATACTCACTTGCAAATCATGGTATATCCATTAAGCTATAATCCCAAATTCTAATCTAGGGAAAGGGTGCCATTTCCGGCCATTTTTGCCATTTATGCCTAACAGATCACCGGCCGGTTGAAACGGCACGTTCCGCGGCACCTCTTCATCATCAAGAGCCATTCATCAAAATCCAGCGAACCATTTCCATCTCCTGGGCCCATCAGGCTTCGATGGGAAGCTTCGATGTGGTTCTTGTTGAATACATTCCCATCAGCTGTTGCATCATCCAGTGGCACATTGTTTGTTACATTGCTTTAAAAAAAAAAACTGGTTCACAATAAACTCTCCAGGCTGTCTCTCGGTCAAGTCCTAAGTCTTCAAGAAGTATCTGAGATGCTCTCATTGGATTTTGTTGATAATTTGACCATTTATCATGGAGAATCATCAGTTTAAATCGGTCAATTCTTTCTGAATGGCCATGTTCCCTAGCTGCTTTACTGGAGAGTATCCCTGCCGATTTCGGCGCCGCAGCCGGTATGACAACTGACATGGAAACCATGTCTTGTTGACAAAACATAGCGAACTGGAAAATCCATACTGTTTTGTCAACCGGTAGATTTTCCAGTTCGCTATGTTAGTCTTCTAGAACTGGCCAAGTCCAGTCTGACGGCAGCCACCAACAAAGGCTCACCCAGAAAATACCAATGGACCAACCCCAATGGCCCAAGCAGTGAGTGAGCACCAGAAAACTAAGCCCGGCTTACGCCCATTCAATAAACCATCCCAGTATTTTCCCATCATATTCCAATCAGTTTTCACTATCAAGTTGAATGTTATTCCTAATTGAATTATTTGCGTAATCATGCCTACTTCCCATAATTATATTGATCTTATGGTAGTGTGATTTGTGGCTTTACCTCAGGTCATTCGCCACTTACTTGGAGGATCATCCAACTTGGTGGCTACTAACCCTGCTTAGCCCAATTCCTAGGAGGCTTTTTCCATTTGAAAATAGGTGAACTGAACCCAGTTGCTAACCAGTTAGCAAACCCTCTGGTAATTTAACATAGCGAACTGGAAAATCACCATTAGGAAAAGCATCTATTTCTATGCGCCATGGCTTCCAGTATCTTCCAGTTCTCTATGCGAGCAGTTCAACTAGTTCATACAGGATGGTGCCCCCCAGTGATGTGAATGTCGGTTTATAAGCCCCATGAAAACTAGTCATATCTACTGTAAACCATAGAAGTCAGCCACAAACATAAGGCACCTTAACGCTATCTTGGGGTCCCCATTCTGTATAAATAGATATTTGCCATAAACCATAGTTAAGTACCATAAACCATAGTTAAATAACCATAATAAACCATAGTGATTAATGTTCGTTATATCATAGTTATATCTACCATAAACCATAGTTAAGTGACTAACCATTCATCGGAATAATAACTATAATCCCACTACATATTACTACCATATGGTCATACCATGAATCATAACTAACTAATCATCTGCTAGTCATCTATGATTCATGGGATGATGCCCGACTTCGTCGCCATGGCGCGGTCAAATTGTTCCACCACCTCCTTAGCCAACTCTTCACATTTCTCCCGCGACCACGTTTGCCCGGCGCCTGGTTGAGTGAAAAAAAACATGGGGAAGATAGGGGATTCATCGTTTGTTATGTGATTTAATAGGGTTTAATGGGATTTAAATTAGAGTTAATAAGCTTCAATAGGGTTTAGTCGTATTAATGGGATTTCATAGGCTTTGATAGTCTTTGATAGGGTTTTTTATAGGCTTTCATGGGGTTTTTCCTGGGGCTTACAGTAATGGGGTTGACCTGCTGGACCTGCTGCCCTATTTTCAGACAAACTTAGAAAAAACCAACACTGCTGCTGGTGAAAGGGGAAAATATCGACAAGAAACTACAGATTTAATGTATAGCCAGTGGAACAAAAAGAGGTTTCCTGCATCTCTTCCACTCAAAACAGGTCTGACACAACGAGAATTGGAGTTTTGCCAGCAATTTTTTGTGGGTTTTTGAAGCAACAATAATGGGGTTGTACTATCTGACAATAGTAGGATTATATGTGTGGATTTCTACTAGTTGGTTGATGGGATTTCGCTAATGGACTGCTATGATTCCTATCACACCAAATAGTATAAATAGAAGAAACCGAAGTGATCCTGGTCAATATTGAAGCAGTGTAAGTACCGCGGTTTGGGGTTTTAGCTACCTCCCATCATATCATGGGCATAAGCAAGGCAAGTCTCACCCACCAAAATGGTGTGGGGGCCAACTTGTCAACCAGTTTGAGCCGCCAAATTCTGCTCATGGATTCATCAACATGTAGGGAGGTCTATTCGTTTTAATTCAGGAACATCTCAATTTTGCAGAGTCAAACAGCTTAAAATCCTCTTGTCCTGGCATTGCATCCTCACCACTTCGTCACCAGAGTGATATCAATGTGAGAGTACCCGTGCCCTAATCTTAGACACCCTGCTTTCTAAAGATCATGTTGTATCTTTCTATATCTTTCTAGTACAAGTGCACCAGATTTTTGTACCAAAGTTCACCAGTTGACCCACCTATCACCTATCTTCCCCATGGGTGACCATCGGTGAAGCCATCAAGGTGGCGCCTGCTTCATACAGCACTTGCGCAATCTCCGCCTGGGTCACGTTGCCATCGGATTCCTGGACGTCAAAGGCCTCCAGATGGATCAGCGAAGCTGAGAAAAGTGAAGGGCCAGAGAAAAACTGGCAGAAAATCTGCTGGTGCGATTAAAAGATGAAAAATGTATAGTGTGAATCTATAGTCTGTAGAATATATATATATATATCTATATACGTATATATAAATTTATACGCGTTTCTATGCATATTAGGGGTTCAACGCAATTTCGATCAGAAGAAATTTTAGCCATTGCAATGTCTCTTGCCTCATCTCTCATGCCCACTCCGATCCAACATGTTCCCGGCACCGGTCAAATTGTGCTCTGGTTTCATCCCAAAATCTCAGCTTTCTTGGTCTTGGGATGTGGGTAACAACCCATTTTTGGCTGATTCATGGCATGAATTGCAGCCCCATCCAGCCCCATACCAAGCGGCCTTGAAGGCAGCCCAAAGAGCATCAACCTTCGCCGACGATCCCAGAGACTCGTTTTGGTCCACTGAAACTTATGGAGATGTTCACTGCTTCACTGCTTCAGATGAGTAAGTGTGTATGCAATTATCTATATATCTATATCTATATATTTTTGTGTGTGTAAATATGTATCTATATACCATATATATATATATATATATGCATATTATTGTCTGGGCTTCTTAAAAATGTGGAAAACCCATAAAACCATTGGTTTCAATACCAAGATGGTCATTTCCATGACTCGTTGGATCCTGGGGCCCCGATGCCAACCTCGTTGTTCACGCGATTTCCCAGGCCAGCTGCCAGGAACTCGGTATAGTCGATGGCCTTAGGGGCCGTGGAGATCCATGGTTCCCAACTGGGACCTTTTTGGGACGGGTTTTCTATGGAGTTTAGCCTCAATTTCTAGGGGTTACCCTCTGGTAAACTAACATAGCTATTGAAAATGGCCATAGAAATAGTGGATTTTCCCATAAAAAAATGGTGATTGTCCATAGCTATGTTAAATTACTAGAGGGTATCAATGGTTCTCATTCAGATTTTTGGGGGATATGATATCATGACATGAAATATCATGAGATTTTGACCAAGTCTTTAACGAACATATATGGAGTGATTGTTTACTTATTTCAGGATGTGAAGGGAAAATCTCTTTATAGGAGCCCCCATCCCATTTTTGCCATCGATTGGGGGAACTCCTGCGGATTTTCCCTTAAAAAACCCTCGGAAAATCACCGTTTCATCCATGTCTGATGGGAAAAGCCACATCAGGTTTTCAAGGGTTTTCCAAGCCTAGGTCAAGGCTAAGGAAGTCAAGGCAGTGGATTTTTGAAACGTTAAAAAAACACTCGAAGCCTGCTACTGACACTGGACTGTTAGGAACTTTCAAGTCATTGTGGGGTACCCAGAAACTATGGATCTAGCAGTCTCGCAAATAAATCACTTTTTTTTGGTGGTCAAACATCCAAAAATCCATATAGTAATTTATAATAATTTATATATGTTGGGGTCAACTTATATGAAAAATCACCAAAGTTCCAGAGTAATCTGAGTAATCCAAATTCTTGGGGTCAACTTCTATGGTTTCACTTGATGTCTAACTGTCTAACCATTTTATCTGCCAAAAATGGCGCGCTAGGAATCCAAGAGACTCCGGATCCATCAATATCCAGGCGACGGAACATGTCCTGTGGATCGAAAAACCGCCGCTCGTTGGGGGGAGATAGTTTTGATATGTTTTGATTGGTGGATGGTGCTGATGTGAATGTTGCTTCAAAAAAAAAACACCACTAGTCACTAGTGAACTAGTTCGTTACCCTCTGGTAATTTAACATAGCTATTGAAAATGGCCATTTATAGTGGATTTTCCCATTAAAAATGGTGATTTTCCATAGTTATGTTAGTTTACCAGAGGGTAGATCTACCATAAACCATCGTTCATTCAGCCACAACCATCCCAGGCAATTCAGCTACGCTATCGACTGAGGAGCTCATCCTGTATGATTCTGCTGGTGGCAAATACCCAGTGGCTGGATTGGATTTAAGAACTGGTTGGTGGTTGACCTAAATCTGGTTGGTACCTCCTCCGGTGGCTAAGATTCATTCTGAAAAGTTATCTGGTTGGTACCCCTCTGAAAAATATGAAAGTCAGTTGGGATGATTATTCCCAATATATGGAAAAATAAAAAATGTTCCAAACCACCAATCAGAGAATGTATCTTTGCTTGGATATAAACCAAGAGGAGGGGCTGCGAAGACTGGATTCGCCCATCGAAAGTTCAGGAAAACAACCAACAGGGGTGACCCTGACGTAGTCAGCTCCAAAAGTGGATGTTTTTACTACGAAAAATGGTCAAATCATGTCAAATCATGTGGCTGCAATGCTGAAATCTGAAATAAACTAAAGCTTAAAATATGGGAGGGTATGCAAAATCTATTTCAAAGGGAGGGGTTTATCTGAAACCAGCTGAATCAAAACGGCAGAGAATCGGAAAAAAAAAGGTCAGAGATCCTCTGGGTGGCTGAATGATTTCCAGCATAATGGGTTTCAGTGAAAATGTGGTTCCCCCAAATTTCATGGCTTATCGTCATTCCCCCATTCAATTGCTAATTTGGCAGTGTTTCGGTATTTACATGTATTTACCATTTTCAGACCTCAGACAGACCCAAATATCATATTGTTAGTGAAATGTATCCCATTGTATTACCCTAGTATATCGATGTATATCGGTGTACCGTAAAACTGACATAAAATATCCCTATGTTGTGGTTGGTTTTTGTTTCCCCCATAGTTTGAGGTTTCCCAACTGAATTCCCCCATAGTGGTGCAGATTTCAGATCCAAGTATATCCACCTATTCTTGGTAGATCACCATTGCATCCCCAGATTTGATCTGGTTGGTGGTTGACCTACCCCTCTGAAAAATGATGGAGTTCGTCAGTTGGGATTATTATTCATGGTTCCATGGTTATAAAATTACATCATTATGAACTTCATAAAAACTCCATCATTTTTCATGGTTCCATCATTATAATTCCTCTGGGAAAGTTATAAAATTCCATGGTTCCAGTCACCACCAACCATTGATGGACCATCAAGGATTGCACATCCATGAGAGATCCCCGTGATTTTCGCCGTGAGATTCAGACCATTTCCCACAAAACCCCCATGGTCTGGTTCATATCCCCAAAAGTTTGATGGGTCTTAGAATCCCCAATGATGGATCCGCCACCGCCAAAGCATGAAAATCTCCGCCAAGGAACATTAATCTCCGCCAAGGGCCTTAGTGAAATTTTCAAAAAAAAAAAGTGGGACCCGCCGGACCTCTGAAAGATGATGAAGATCTGGAGATCTAGATCTTTTGAGATGATTTTACATCATCTTACATGACATAAATATGTTACATTGATATCAATGGCCATTTCAGGAACCTAAATTGGAGGTACCTACCATATATAAGGCCTATGTAAGGGCTATGTAAGGGAATATCCCCACAAAATATGGCCTTATATGGTACAGTACCTCCATTTTAGGATCCTGAAATTCCCATTGATGATATATGATATGACTGGTATGACGACCAAACAATGTCAAATAATGTCAACACGACCGTGTTTGGTCGTTGGTGAAAAATGGAGATTCCCAGCTCATGGATCATGATAATCCCCAACATATTGCACCATATAATCCCCTTTTTGATCAACCATCATTCATCAATTATCTCCCAAGATATCACAAGATTTGACGGTAAAATGCCACATATATGGAAAAATATGATGTCCTATAATTCTATATAATAGCGGACCAAATTACTTCTTCATTTTCATGTCGATCACCCAATATACCATCTGGTTATTCAACATAGCTATGGAAAATCCCTGAACTAAATGGAGGTTTCTAGCTGGGAAAATCATCTATTTCTATGGGCCATCTATACCATGGCTATGTTAGTCATAACCAGAGGGTATCTATAATGCTCAAGTACCCATTTTTTGGTCATCATCCACCGGGCCGAGCTCTCCAGTCGGCTCTAGCTACGCCGAGCTACGCGCTTCCAGCGCCAAACATCTTTTCAAAACCACTTTGTACCTGGCGGCCAGTGCGGACTCGTGGGATTTCTTGATGAGAAAATCCTGGGGAAATCCATGGGAAAATCCGATAATATTATATGTTTATCATCATTTATACATATTTATACAGGGGAAAGTCATGGAGAGTACGGAAAATCCCATGTTTACCATCGCTTATAACTGTTTCTTACAGTTTTTCCAACTATATAAACCAAGTCCGGGAGCTGGACAAGAACCCCAATCATTCTGTCCAGAATGATGAATAACTGGAGGTTGCACGGAAGAGTGACAACCGTAAGTGATACAGTGACACTCATAAAATGAAGGAATGATGATAAATATGATAATATATGACAATAAATGGTTGGTGGTTTCAATCCCTCTGAAAAATATGAGTTCGTCAGTTGGGATGATTACATTCCCAACTGAATGGAAAGTCATAAAAGTCATGTTCCAAACCACCAACCAGTTTTGATGTCATTTATGCGACCTGATACAGGCTGCAATGTCACTTAATGGGTACCACCAAGATTCAACATGCAATTCTTCGCAAGGAAAACGTGTGATACTGGAGGACACAGAAATGACACGTGTGTCGCATGTCCAAGGTTGATAGAGAACGAGGATCATGTGGCTTTGTACCCGAAAAATGTAGGAGAAGCAGCCCCAAAAACCAGTGGCTTAGAATCTCATGTTCCCTGCGGATTTGGGATGATGTGGCGGTAGACACCAGGCACAGGCAGCACTGATCGATCCAGGCGTATATTAGATGGACAAAACAATTACACAATATTCCCCCAAAATCCCAGAACAAAAAAAAAAACATGAGGCAAAATGCGGTATACCCAAATGGAATATAGAAAGAAACCACATTTTTTCAGTGGTTTAACCTAAATATGGCCGCAGATGGTCAAGTCCGGTATATACTTCAAAAGCAAATTGTGAGTGTAAAGAACATAAACTACCGAACTAATTCACTATCAGAAACAAACACACCTTCACAACATCCATCCAATCATCCACCGGAAACCAAAAAAAAAAACATCCTCTTGTCAATCGGTCAAAAGCACAAAAAAATGTGTTTTGCCCGGGGTTCAGACCCTGCAAGTGCGTTTTCAGCATCAGTATTTACAGTGTTTATGATCATGTTTCATGAAAATCATCGGTATTTGCAGTGTTTTATGATCATATAATCATATATGTATGCGTTGTTCATGAAAACTCATGAAAAAATCACTTCCCCCATGGGGACCTCTCCGGAAAAAAAAAAAAAAAACACGCCTCATGCAACTGAAGCATGCCATCACCATTGGTGTCCAACTCTTGGAATACCTGACTTTCTTGGGGTTCCTATGGGATTTCCTGGAAAATGATGTAATTGATGCTGTGTTATACCATGAAACATAAGCTGTTATCATCTGTTATCCCATAGTGCTAATTCAAGCTACGACAAAATAAGATAAAATAATGGGGTGTTATACCGTTAGACCCACTGAATTGAATAAGGCAAAATAATATAAAATAATAGGATATAGTGATTTTACGATCGGATGTGCTGCTATTATACCATTGTATAATTGTTATACCATGAATAAATACATACAGAAACCGATTCGTAATGAACATTTTGGAAATTTGGTGGATGAATGATTGGGTACTAGACCAACAAAATGGTAATAAACAAAAATTGCTTAAGCAGCAAACATGTGGGAATAGCTAGCGAATTATAACCGATGGACATCGCACATCTTCATGATTGAGCCAAGAAAAAATGGCATACCAACGAAATTGGTCGGGTTGCCCAACCACAACGACAACAAGAACATGAACACCAACAAAATCGAAATTCCAGAGACCAAGCGGCAGTTTGCAGTTCTTTCAGACCTTTCCTACTCAATTGCTGTGCCACGGACGCTGCGCAAAGGGACAAGAAGGTCGAGGTATTGCTGAAGCGATGCCTTGGGGGGGGTAAAGCTGAGATTTCGTGTATGGGACAAGGAATACTAGACAATACCCCATAGGATCCATGTATGGTATATATATATACTAACATTGGGGGTATATTGATGGTAAATGTTACCATATATAGCATACATGGATCCTATGGGTACTAGAAAGATGATTCACAACCATTGCGATATCTTCGGAAGGTGGTCTACTTAATCTACTTACTACTTTTCCACCTTCCTGGGGAACACTTCTGGTTTGTTTTCAGGCTCAGGCATTTGTTTGGTCGAAATTCAACCCATACCGATTTCGTCATGAAAAAAAAATCGCAGCCTCGTGAAGCATCTCAAGACTGCAGACAATGGTTGTCATTTCGGGATGTTCATCATCATCCAATCATCCCTTAAATTTGGGTGTTTCAATTCCGGCAAAAAACTGGATTCATAACTGGCATCCCAGGCCAAAAATAGCTGATGGTCCAATGCTTGGCTCCAAGCTACAAGTTGGCCAAGACTTGTTGGGACGCCATTGAGGACCGGGGATTCGACGTGTCGGCGTGCTTGGTCCTTAGCGGATGTCACGGGGACGCGAAACGCGTCCAGTGGCTGAACCTCAAATGTCAGCAATTCCCAAATCGCCTCCAAAAAGAAACTCTCAACTATCAATGATACACATCAGACAATTTTCTTTGTAACTATGAATGTAGCTTACTAACAATAAGCTAGATATAATAATATATGCTTACCAATTGTCAAAATGCATACTTACTACAACCTCATTTAACAATGTTTCTTCCCAATAAACATCCATAAATCACCACAATATCTGCCTGAACTTTTCCCTCAAAATTCTTATAAGTCAGTCTTATTCGTCAGTAAGTCACCCCAAATTTATGTTTCAGGATAACCACATAGAAATACTTTCAGAAAATATGCACAGCAAACAGCACACTCAACTATTTTACCCTTGAGCCAAAACATACGTACAACACAGTGGTTGTGTGACAATTATGTGGAGGTGTAAATTTCAACACCCCTCCTTCAACGCAGGTGCTAGCTTCGCTACACCTTTGTTGATTCTAACTTCTTTGCTCCAACAGCTTTCCCTAGACGATACTCCTGACACATGTTCTTCATGTGTCTCTCACAAGTTTCGCGTCCTATGGGTTTCGTACATAGATCGGCTAGATTGTTCTTTGTACCGATCGGGCAGATCCGCAGGTGGTTCTCGGCCACATGTTCCTGGATCCATAGATAACGGGTCTGGACGTGTCTTAGCTTTCCGAGACCTCGCCTGCTCGCTGTACCGCGTGCAGCGCTACTGTCGCTGTAGATCTCTAATGCCCTTTCGGCTCCCCAATCTTGCATGAGCGCCTTGATGCTCAAACCAATTGCGGATGCTCGTACGAGTGCATAAAACTCGCTTTCTCCCGAGCTCAGAGCAATGGTCGATTGGAGATTCGATCCATGTTTGATGCAATGTTGTCCCATCATGACAACAAATCCTGTTGTGCTTTTCCTCGTCAACAAACAACCCGCATGATCGCTGTCAGTGTAGACTTTAATCACCTTGGGTGTCCTCTGAGGTTCGTAGGTGCACACGACCCTTGGTTTTCCGACCAGGTATCTACCTAATCGTTTCAAGTCCTTGACGTCTGCATCATTTGGTGCTTTCATCTTTCTCGTCAGTGATTTCACTGTTTCTGCTATGTCTGCACGGTCTTGTGCTAAGAACTGTGCTCTCATCACTAGACTTCTGTATAGTGTGGTCTGTTCTGCCGTCACCGGTGGAAGACCTACCGATGCCAGCACTTCACTGCTCTTTTTCTTCTCTGACGGTGTCACCACACTTTTCGCATTTTCCAAGTTCAACTGTCTGATGATCATTTCTGCGTGTCTTGGATCGGCTTCGTATGTCACTTTTCCTGTTTCGTGGTCATAGGTCACAATTCGGTTCAAGACTGTCAGATGTGTTCCTCCACCTTTTCCAATGAGTCCGTCACATCTGAACTCGTATCTCTCCTGCAAAACCTTTTGCATGTATTCTTGTCCTGCCTTGTCACTCAGGACTAAAAAGTCATCTCCATGTACTAGCAGCTTGATGTTCTTCTCTTTGTGCCAGAACACGGATGTCCAAGCTTTTCCACATTCGAAATTGTGTTTCTTCAACAACTCGCTGTAGTCTGACTGCCAGACATGGCTGGCGTCCTGTGTCCCATACATAGTGCGCTGCAGTAATGCGCACATTCCTTCTTCCTCGTCACCTTGTGGCAATGTGACGTATACCGTTCTTTGTGCCTTTCCGTAGAAATGCGCACGTGATATGTCGTAGAGTGCCAGCTGCTCGTTACTGCCACTTGTGGCTAACATCGAGCATAGTAGCTTTACCGCCTCCAATGGCGGCATGTTCGAAAACAGCTGGTGTCCTGGGAGTGAACCATGTTTCTTCTTCACTTCCCGCACCACTAAACGGGAACGGTAGTTCTTCTTCGTTGAATCGCCTTTGTTGCGATCAATCCATTTCAACGTGATGGGTGCTTTTCCTGTAACTGCCCAACATTCGCTTATTGGTCGCTTGACGTAGACTTCCTGTTTCTTCACCCAAGCAAGTTCTTCTTGTCTCGCTTTCAGTACCTCCTCTGTTTCCAACTGAACTCCTGTGATCTCATCAAAGAAGATCTGTTCGTCGCCTTTGTTTTCAAACTTCGGCACGTACTCATCTTCGTAGTCCTCAAGATGTGGATCGTCATCCGGGCTTGGTCCTGCATCTAATGCATTCACTTCTCGGTATTCACCGTCTGCTTTCATTTGTCGCTTGATGGCCTTTAGTATTCCTTTCACCAGTTCTGGTGGGTATACCCGTGCCATTTTGGCACGTCCATTGACGAGGTGGACATGTCTATGCCATTCTCCAGTTCCTTTATCGTTCGAGCAAACGCCCGACAGAATCTTAGCCAACTCCGGGCTATTTGTAACCCATCTGGTGTTTTTCCTGACATAAGATTCACCACTGGCGTCTCTAGCCACCATTTTCCATCTGCACATTGGTCCCTCAATTGTGAATGTCCCGGGTAGGTTCTGAACTTCCTTGACACATTCCTCATTCCAACTGGCTGCTGGTTTCGGATGTTCGTGTAGGAAATACCTACCCCTCCTTGACTGTTGCTTGTAGTACTCGCATGCTTGCTTTAGCATCCTTCTGCCTTCTTCCAGCCTTTGTTGTCGAACAGCTGGATCAACTCTCCCTGTGTTTAGGGCTTGAAGCGGTGAGAACGCTTCACACGGCGGACTTCCAGTTACCAGGTACGGATCCTCCTCATCCAAGATCCTCTCCAGACTCTTCACATGATCTGGATTCAACAAGTTCCATCCAGTCTCCAAATCAACTGCGTATCCTGGCAGTAGTCCATAATTCCTGCACTTCTCTGTCAATCTGGGTGGTGAAAAGATTTCACTCACATCATGTGCTCCAAGAGATTTCAAATCTTGCAATGAAATTTCCCAATCTTCGTCGGGTTCAACACTAAAGTGAAACAACGACTGGACATCTCTAACGTGACTTGGCGATGTAACTGGTGACCAAAATTGATCATGACTCATGTCTGCACCTGGGGCTGCGGATCCTGAAGCAGTCCCACTGGCTGAAACAGCCGGAGCAACCGCTTGTCCCTCGGAAGTTCCACTGGTTGAAACAACCAACGGCCCCTCCTGCTCCTGAGCATCGTAGTACAGATCATCGATATTGTCTGGTATCCGTTTTCCTGACCTCAAGGTATCTGACCTTGTTCTCTTCTCACCTTCAACTCTTCCTCCGTCTGATCTTGTCCTTTTCGGTGATGTTGGTTGTTCAGGTTCTTCAGGTTGTCCAAGTGCTACTGCTGATCTCACTTCACCTTCAGTGGGATCCGGCATTCCTGTGATCACTTGTTTTGCCTTTTTCTTTTCGGTACCTTCCTCTTTCCTTTTCTCGACGTCTGCCAGACGTTTCCTTCCTTCTTCCGTTTGTAGCAACCTCTGTTCTAACCTGTATCTGCATGTTGCATTATGTGCAACTGCTGGCAATCCAACCATGATTGCCTCACAACCTCTACAACCTGGTGTGTAGTCCATTGTACCGTCTTCCTTTTCCAAGTCCTTCTTTCGGACGTACAGATTCCTGGGACCTCCATCCCGTACACTCGGGGTTAATCTCTGTGTTGTCTCAGGCAACGTGATGTGTAACCTGTGTTCCACATCTTCGGCACTCCTTGGGCGAAGCGCCCAGGGCGTACCTTTCAATTCCTTGAGTTCCATTCGGTCCCATCTCTCCGATTCTGGTTTCCTGTGGACGGTATTGCCTCTAATCACACCTTGACTTGTCATCACCAACACATCGGCGTTCCTGCCGTGCGTTCCAACGTAGTGGCCACTCATGACCCTACTTGCTAGATCTCCTTTCTTTCTTTCGGATTCACCTTCCTTGGAAACCCTGTAGGAATCCAACGGTCTAAAATAGACCTTTTCGCCAAACGTCACCATAGGTCTGTTCCATTTTCTGCCAGTCAATCTTTGGTATGGGGTTTTCCCATCATCTTGATTACTGAATCTACTCAGGCAAAATGCCGCGTGTCTACTTAGCCATGTGAGTAATGGATGCGTATCTTCCAACTTTCCAAAGTGTTCCTCAAGCTCACTCAAAAGTGCTCTTGACTGTCGCTTCTCGTCCCTGATCGCGACTTCGACTGCACCATTGGCACTGTGGTCCCCAGTAGGTGCTTCTTGCAGGATTATCTCAATTCCTGCTGCTTTGGATTTCACTTCTCGTTTCAGAGCGACGATTGCTGGTTCTCCGTCACTCTTCAGAATCAACCTGTTGTACCCTGTTTCGTTCAAACAAGCCAACATGAAGTTGACTGAAAACAGGTCTGGTCCTTTCGTGGGTATTGTAGTCGCCCACGTCATCTTTGACTTGCTGTCTTTTACCTGCAAGTTCGTTGATTCTCCATCCTTCTCACCATAGTAGAAGTAGTCTATTGATACGACTGGGATTTCACTGTCCTCATCCCGTGAAACTGAGCTGTGCTTTGCGTACGTTGCACGAGCTCTCATGCAATGGCCACACCACGATCTGTGTACTGCGTGGGCTGTGGCAAGATGTTCCTCTAATTCCTGGGCTGTTGGATCGCTGACTTTCCTTGCGACCTTTGGCCTCTGTACCTCGACAGCTTCTGCCGGGTCCTCTGCTGAAACAGCAGGGGCCCCAGCTTCCGCTGGCGACTCTTCCATTCTCTCTTCTTCTTCTAACGGACTTACGGACAACCCTGCCGTCAGTTTCCCGACTTCCTTTCCAACTTCTGCTTTGTGGTGTCTTCGTCAACCCAGTAGTCAAACACGTAGACACCCCTTTCAATTCGCAACTTGGTGGATTTCCCACCTTCTTCTTTCAACACTTGGTCTACAAACTTTTGGATTCTCTTTGCTGCATTCGACCCAGCTGGAACTATGTTACCACCCTGGTTGTCCAATATTACCATATTCCTCTTACACACTTCCGACCCACTAGCCAAGATGCGGTGCACATCGGTCAC